GGAGTGGGGCTGGGAAGGAGGGAAGAGGGGTGAGCTGGGGGCTGGGCCTCGGGCCACCCCTGCCTCTGTCCCCTGAGCCCCACCCAGTGCTGGTGCCCAAAGGCAGAAGGGTCCCTGGGGCAGGCCAGTTGCCCCCATCCCACCGCTCAGCTCAGCGCGGGAGGAAAGTAAAGTGAAAAATAGGGAGCCCCAGAGCAGCACCTCTGCCTGCGCCCCCAGCATCGGGGTTCATCTCCCTCATTCACCCGCAGCGTGTCCTGGGCTGACAGGCTGCCCTGTGGCGGGCAGGGGCCTGGGCGCGAGGCTCCGGCCCCTCGGTGGCCAGAGGCAGGCGCCCCCATTTCACGAGTGGGGAAACTGAGGCTCTGAGAAGTTCAATTATTTGCCCTTGGCCCCAGGACCAGAACTGGGCCCCACGACGTTGCCCTGTCCTGCAGCACCAGCAGCACCCCTGGGTGCCAGGGTGGGGACCCCAGAGCCTCAGCTCTGCCCAGACAGCAGCTGCTCCCCACCCCACCCCCATTCAGACAAGCGCCCAGACCCTCCTTGCCCGCACCCCTCCAAGGGACAGAGGCCCCCCCCGCTTCGGCCCCTTGCCCTGCTCCGGTCAAGCACCTAGTGGGGATCACCCGCAGCCTTCGCTGGTGGGGCTGCTGAGGCCCTGACCTCTAGGGGTGCCTTGAGCCGGGGTACGCAGCCTGTGATCTGTGGGTGCTGATTCTTAACCCCCCACCGGACCAGAGGTGGGAGTGGGGGACCTGGAGGGCCCCCCTTTCCTGGGCCATGGCTGCCATGGAGAATAGCCTGGGAGAGGCAGGGAAGGAGGGGCCCATGGCAGCCCACGCCTCTCCCCCCTGCCGCCTGAGCCCTGCTTCTCTCTGGGGTCCCAGGAGTAACTTACCGCCTAGCTGGAAAGCAGGCTGCCCTTCCCACCTGGCCCCTCACTTGGGCCCTGCGAGGTCAGCCAGGCGAGCTGTCGCTCGCTCCACCCAAAAGTTGAGGGACAGCCAGGCTGCCCTGGCCGCCGAGCCCCAGCTGGGCTCCAGGGGCTGTCAGCTTTTGGGAGGCTGTCCAACAACTTCACCCCCCCCCCACTACCCCCCTGCAGGGCCTCTGGACAGGGAACAACTTATCGGGCAGTGTCCTTCCTCCCGTGTCCCCGGCTTGCATCTCTGCGGTCCGTTTCGCCCCAGCAGCCCTGTCACTCCCCCTCCCTTGGCCCTAGAGCCTCCAGCTGCTCAGGCCAACCGGGTACCCCTGAGCCTGCACACCCACCCCCTTCCTCCTCTAGCCGGTGCTGCAGGGGAGAGGCTGCTCCTAGCTGCTCCTCACCTCCGGAGCTCAGTGGCCAGGGCCAGCGCGGGGCGGGGCAGCAGGTGCCTATCTGGTTGGAATCAGGAGATAAGGACCCTGTCGTGGCCTCGGGACTGAAAACACCCAAACTGCCCCTCATCCTCCGCCTGCCTGCCCCCTTCTCTGCCGAGAACACCCTTCACGCCGTGGCTCCCCGACCCTCTGCTCTCACCCTGCATGGAGGCACCTCAGGGTCCCATTAGGGGTGAGGAGGGAGGCTCTGGTCCCACGAGGACCCAGCTGGACTAATGGGAAGGGGCTGAAATCTGGGTGCCCCTTCACCCTCTACGGCCCCTGGCTTCTCCCCTGCAGTGCCTTGCAGCCAGCCAGCCGTCCTCTGTCCATCTATCTATCCATCACTTGCTCAGTCCACCCCAGTGTGTCCAGAGAAGGGCCCAGCCACCTCCCTGGGTGCACCAGGCCCCAAGGGAGTCGCCTCGCCTCCCTGCTGCCCCCGTGGGATTCACTGGGAGTGAAAGACAGGCTCCGGAAGCATGGAAGGAGAATTTATGGGGCTGCTGCCGCCCCAGAGCTCTGGCTCCGACGGGCTCCAGCCCACGACCAAGCACCGGGGGCGGCCCCCCCTGCAGGCACCACAAGGGCAGGGGTCCGGTGTCTGGGCTCAGCAGCCAGCAGCGCTAATCTCCAAAGAATGTGCTGCCAGCTGCCGGCACACTATGCCCCATGGGATCCAGAACCCAGGCTGAGCCTGTGCGGGGCCCAGGGGGGCACCTACATGCTCCAGCCCTGGGGAAGGGGACATGCATGTGACAGGGACTACCCTGAGAATGTGCCTGGTGCTCCTGGCCCCTGGCAAGGCTGGGAGCTGGCCCAGGGCCACCTCGACAACCATGGCACTGGGGGCTAAGTGATGGATGGCCCCGGCACCCGGCCCTGGCCTGGCAAGATAACTTTCCCAGGGACTAAGAATAGGTGGGGAGGCTGGGGAGGAGGTGGGCTGCCAGGGACGCTGCTCCCGCCGCCCACAGTGGTGGGACCAGGCAGGATGGTGACTGCCACCAGCACAGAGGGGAGGGGCCCTGGTGCTGTCAGAGCCACCAAAGAGATAGCTGCAGGCCGTGGGAGACCCCGCTGCACCCAGGGAGGTGGCACAGCCCCCAGGATGCTGGGCAACACCTATTGGCAGAGGGCAACTGCTTCCCTCTTAGCTTCCACTCCATCAGTGGACCCGGAGGCTCAGATGGGTGACTTTAGGGGAGCGGGACACCCTGGTAGCCATGACAGACCCAACTGAGTCTCCTCACTCCTGGGGATCTCTCCCCAGGCCCTGCTGCTTTGACCCTCAGCAGCCCCAGGGAACCCTTTGCCCCTGATTTGCAGCCCCAGCCAGATGTGGGGGGTGGCAGCTCAGAGGCATGCCCCCCGCCCTGCCACACCGACCCCACTTCCTCCTGCCGCTGCTGCTGCTGCTGTCCTGCCAGGTGAGCACTCGCCCCCCTGCCCCCCAGCCCCTCGGCTCCCCCCGGGGCCTGC